TGCAGTGCCAGAAAGCCTTGTACACTAACAGCTGTCCTTCATTTTTAGCAAAATAGCTACTATTTTTTTCCATTCTGTCCATCCAAAAATCTGTAATTCAGTGTATTTCAACTATATTACGGCTCTCCGAATTTGTGGGGGGGGGTCGCCTGCTGTGACATCATCTCAGTACGAGTTGTTAGTTTTGCTGCAGCCACTCGCACTCGGGGTCCCCCGAGCGTCTTTTGCCGGAGCGCTACCGGCTTCACGGTTTGCAAGTTACTGTACCAAATAACTAAACCAGAGAACTGTATTTAAGCGGTGAATGTGCTTTGACACAAATACTAAATAGAACCATGGTTACTACCTGGCCCTAGCAGAATCCCTTCTCCTTGACCATCATGATGCTATTTCTACCTCACCATTATTCTTAATAATCAATATTAATTTTCACTGCATTCTCCATGGTTTAGATTTATTTTCTTGTTTAGAATAAGGTCCCAATCTTAACTGCTTATTGGTAGCATTACCACCATCATCATCATTACTATTTGTATTACCATAGGTTCTTAAATAGAAACATCTCATATAGATAACCATGTCTCCCTCACTAGCAGCTTGTTTTGCTCACAGACTTTTCTCTGTTTCACCCTCACTTTGTAGGTTTTACAAACGTTTTACAGTTTATGAAGCACTTAGCAACCCCCAACCAAGAACAGAGCGGGAGGGAGAAGGGGGAATGCGGGGTGCTCAGAGGAGGGGGCAGAGTTGGGGTGGGGACTTTGGGGAAGGGGATGGAATGGGGGTGGGGAGGGGGCGGAGGCAGGGATGGGGAAGAGGTGGAGTTGGGGCGGGGCCAGAGCCCCCGTGGAGTGTCCTCTTTTTTCAGTGTTGAAATATGGTAACCCTACATTCAGGCACCTAAATAAGTGTCCTAATGTCTCTGCACCCACCAGTTCCTAACATTATGTACATTGTACCTCTGAAAATTGCACCCTTTTAAAGTGGGATTTTCAAAAGCACTCCATCTTGGTTGAACTGCACCCACTGCAGTCAATGGGAGCAGAGTGATGCCAACTCTGAGTGCATCTGAAAATCTGAGAGCCAGTTCTACACTACCAGGGTTTGTCAGCCTAGCTGTGTTTGTCAGGTTGAAAAACCACACACCCCAGGCAACGTAAGTATGCTGGCAAAACTCCCAGTGTAAACATAGCTAGGACAACACAAGAGTGCTTCTGTTGACACAATTAACGCCATTTGGGGAGGTGGAGTACCATACTGACAGAAAAAACTCTTTCTGTCAGCATAAGCTACATCTAACCTAGGCGGCTCTGCTGGAATAGCTAACCTGGCAAAGAATATATAGTGTAGGCAAGGTCTGAGCCTTACATGTCGGCATAAGGATTTTGAGGGAAGATTTTCTCAAGCTGCATTTAACTATTATTGTGCTTTTGAAAACCTTCCTGTAAGTGCTTAACTTTAAGCACCCAAGTTTGTACATTTTGCCTGTAAGTTTTCCAAAGCATCAGGGTCCTTAGAATTCACAAATAACTGGGACTGGGATTTTCAACTCCTTAGGCTTCTACGCACATCCTGGCCTTAAAGAAAAATGGATTTATGTGGGAGTTAAATAGCTCATAAGTCTTGCACTGACTCCTCTGTAAACAGGGATGAAAATCATTTAAAGTTATGTCTCCACTGGGCTGAAATTCACCCCTGTTATTTCTGGCCTGAAAAGAACATAAAAAGAAGGCAGACTGAAGGCTACCAATAGCATATCAATGTTCACATGCTTAGATTTCTGTGAGAGAATGTATGCTCCGTACGGATATTGACATTTCAAAGTATATTCCTGTGACTTGCCACTTTCGAATAGATAGGGTAATTTTGAAACTGTAGCTTTTGGGGGATTTGTTCCTTTTCCTATTTCTTAACGATAGTTACTGTAACTCCTCCAGCTTTTAATTAATGAAGGTTCAGGGAAATGTTCCAAGACAGAAATGGGAAGAGGGAGCCTAAATCCTATTGAAATACAATGGGAGTTGGGCACCTAAAGTCCCATTATTGCCTTTGAAAAATCTCTTCCTTTGTTAATGAGCCTTTTCTTTCTTTCTTTCTTAGTTCTTGTGAATTCCCCTTGTTTCATTTTAACCTTTATTCCTCAGAAAAGAAATAATGAAAAATACTCAAGCCAGCACTGACTCCCTGCCTTGCTCTGACATCTCTCTGTGCATAGACTTACCATGTGACCGGCATCTCTGAGCAGTTTGGCAGCAGTGAGTCCACTTATGCCTGCCCCTACAATGACCACCTCCACTGGATGAGCTGCCTTTCCAAGCCCATTTTCGGCAATCTTCACCAGCTCATCGTAGTCGGGATCATCAAGGCAAAGTTCAGGAAATCTAGAGAAACTCTCAGACCATAGTACAGCCACAAGGAGAAACAGCCTGGAAAGCGCTGGGGACATATGGACAAAGAGAAGTGAGGTGTAGTTAATGAATGATGCAGTCAGGGAAGCAAATTAATTTTCTGAAACCCAGATGGCAGGTGGCATCCCTGAAATGACACCAATCAGCCCACAGCAGAGCTAAAATCCATACAAGGGTGTGCAGCAAACCAGCCTTGAGTATTGCCAGATGATACATAAGAGCAAACCAGCTCCTAACATTACCAGAATACAAAGACGATCATTTTAAGGTATGTCTACACTGGAGATGGATGTGTCATTTCCAGCTTGAGTAGACAGACCTGTGCTCCCTCTTATTGAGCTAGCATGCTAAAAATAGAATGGTATCCACAGCAGTGGAAGCAAGGGATGGGGAGGAGTATATTCCTAGGATCTTGGACAGAATCATGTTAGGGGCAGGAACCCCTTCCTGCTGCTCACACCCCACCATGGTTACCCTCAGATTATAAGATCTTTGGGAAATGGGCTGTCACTTAAAACATCTTTGCACAGTGCATAGCACAATGAAGGTGAGAGGCCTGGGTGAGACCTCTTGGATCCACCACACATGGAGTCGTCGACAGCCTAGATAGAGAAGCTCAAATATGTAACTCATCGCTGGTAGAGTGTCTGTCAGTCCCACCCGTGATGTGCCATACCTCACCCCTAGCGACAGGGTAGCAACCTGGGGAGAGGAGCTGCAATGTAATAAACATAATGGGCAAGAGTTTCAGAAGTGATGTTGTGTGATATCAGCATGGGACACTTGAAAGGGGCACATTTTCAGATAACAGGTGTCCAGCCTTTTCTGAAAAATGAAGCCCCTTTAAGATGCCTCAACTGGGGCACACTGAAATTGCTCTTTACCCTGTAGCTAAACCACAAGACATGGGCTTGATGCAGGAATTAGAAGATGAAATTCTATGTCTTGAATTAGGTAGGTGTCAGACTAGAAGGTCACAATGGTCCCCTCTGGACTTAGGGTCTGTGAAATAATAAGGCATGCAAAATCACTAGCCATTGTTAAAAGTCTTGGCCCAATAGACACAAAATCTTTGTTAACTTTAAGGTCTTGTCCACATTGCAGATCTTTTCCCAAAAAATTCAGACCAGTTTCAAAATCAGTTGGAGCCACAGGGCTGATAAGTTTGTTGTTGGCCATAATCATATTTACAATCAGTTTAAATAATTTGGCTATCAGGATGCTTAAGTAAACCAATTATAAGAATGAATCTGGCTGCTTGAGTCTTGTCTACATTGTGGTTCTAACTAGTTTCAAACTGATTTTAAAACCAGTTTGAATCTTTTAATACATTTCCCCAGTGTGGACAAGATTGTAGTGAAGGGTGCTACTTAACTGTAAAGTTCAAAAGTATTTATAACAAGGAATATTAAAGACATTTAAATAAAACTTTAAGGCACACTCGGTGAGATTTTCAAAAGGGCTCAGTGTTGACCTAAATTTGCACCCACTAAAGTCATTGAATCTCCACACTGCTACAGTGCTTTTACTCGATTGGCTATTTTGGAAATATTGGTGATTAGACCTCTCTGTGCTCCTCAAATAAATTTATTTTTCTAGAAATGCCCTGAGAAACAGCAGGGTAGATCAGAGCCCATTCAGAACAATCCTTTAAACTATACACAGATTCACCAGCAGTGCATATAAATTCAGTTCACAGTGAAGAAAAACACAGTTCAAGAGTTTCCAGTTTCAGGCGGAAGCTATTACCCAAAGAACCACAGAATAAGATTTTTTTTTCTCTTCTCTTCTCAAACAGGCACCAGTTTCACTCAAGAAACTAAACAGTACCAAAAATTTCCTTTGGACAACGTGACTTGCTTTAAACCCTGATCCTACAAGCCTGACTCACATGAGGAATCTCATGGAACCATTGTTGGCATTGGAACAGTTGTAAGTGGGACCTGCCAGCATATTATTGGATGGCACTTTCTCAGAGGGTTACACAGTATTAACAGCAATCGATTCATGTAAAGTCCTACAGTCTAATCCTTCTGCCATTGAAGTTAAAAGCAAAATTGCCATTGCTTTCAATCATTCAGGATCAAGCCCTTAGTGTGACCAAATTTTTCCATAAAATACCCACAAAGGCAGGTATGCATCCTCTTTTTAAAAAATCACATTGCCGCCAAGAGGGCGTGATCCAAGGCTCATTGAAATCAGTGAGAATCAACTTCAAGGCAGCAGAAAGAGGCACTGAAAAACAAAGCCCAAGACATATTCATCTAAATAAGAATGAAAAAAAGTGAGAGGTTAAAAGAAAGAGAAAGATGCAAAACAAGAAAGCAGCTGAAGATGGACTAACACACATCCTTTCCTAGCCCCAAAGCAATTATCCCAGCGCAGCAGTTTCACTTACAGAATCTGTCCATGTTTCCACCAGCAGCTCTTGTCATCTAGTGAGCACTTTCATTTTATAGCCTGAACCAGCTGGTCTCAGAAAAGAAAGTGGTTCAAAACTTCCTACCAATCAGTATGTTCCAAATACTGAAAGAGATGTAATTAATAATTCTAGGGAAATGAATTTCTAGTCTGACACAATTCTGTGTCTCTTTCTGTCCCACCCTTTAATCAGTTGACACAAAGTGACTTGAACACAAGTTAGTTATTTTTCTGGTAAGTCCCCTGTATACATCCAGGTTATACATTTATCTGCCTTCCTCTCAGCAGACATAGTACAATGCCTAATTCTGTAATTTGGCAAAATCTATATGGCTTTTTCTGCCTATTGCTCCCCTAAATCTGAAGAAATCTGTGCAAGGCACAGGGGAAAATTGATAAAATTTCTGTGCATATTTATGCTATACTCCTGCAAGCAGTTAAACACCCCTCACTTTGCATCCCTCCATTCAGGGCCGGCTCCAGGCACCAGGCAACCAAGCACATGCTTGGGGCGGCACCTGGTAAGGGGCGGCCAATCTTGGGGTGGCGGGGGGCAGCGCAGCGCGGCATTCCGCGGGGCGGGCTGCGGCGCTCGGCAGGGGGGGCGGGCTCCGGTGGCGTGGCGCGCAGCGCTTGGCAGGGGGGCGGCGCGGGGAGCGGCGCTCAGGGAGGGGTTCTGGCGGCGCGGTGCTCGGCGGGGGTGGGGGGTGGGCTCTGGCGGCGCGGCGCTCAGGGGGGGGAGTTCCAGCGGCGTGGCACTCGGCGGGGTGGGCCTCGGCGGGGCGGCACTTTTTTTTGCTGCTTGGGGCAGCAAAAAAGTTAGATCCGGCCCTGCCTCCATTGAATCCCCTTGTCTTCCCTGTTAAGGCCTATCCCCACTCCACCTATAATCTCTCATTTGATATCTAAATGTCAGCACCCAGCTTTGATCGGCCCATGATACCAGCCTCCTTGGCTACTTGTTTTCAGAGAAGCACCTGTGTGCTTTCTCCCATTCTGCCCCTTGTGTTTGCTAGCAGCCCCTCATAAACATCCACAGGGCTAACTCATTATCCTCTTTCAAATCGCTCCTTACAAATTTCCTTTGCTGTAATGCCTAAAAAAAAGCTGACAATGGTTAGACAGCAGCCTGTCATGCTGACCAGTTCAATAATTTTCTTGTACTCCCCTGGTTGTCTGATTGTAACCATCTCTTGCCCCTTGTCTTATGCTTAGATTGTAAACTCTTTGTAGCATCCCTCAGCACAGTACATCTAGGTCTCAGGCCTACCATCCCTCAGCACAGTACATCTAGTCCAGCCGGGCTCTGGCTAGGGTGACCAGGTGTCCAATTTTCGACTGGAATATCCGGTCAAAAAGGGACCCTGGAGGCTCCGGTCAGCACCGCTGACCTGCCATTAAAGGTCCGGTTGGCAATGCTGCGGTGCTAAAGCAGGCTAGTCCCTATCTGTCCTGGCACCACGCTGCGCCCCGAAAGCAGCCAGCAGGTCCAGCTCCTAGGCGGGGGGGGGCATGGGGCTCCACGCGCTGCCCCTGCCCGAGCACTGCCTCTACACTCGCATTGGCTGGGAACTGGCCAATAGGAGTTGGGGGTGCAATGCCCCCGCCCACTAGTGCCAACCTGCTAGCTGCTTTCAGGGCACATGCAACGCAGTGTCAGGACAAAGAGGCAGTCTGCCTTAGCCCCGCTGTGCCGCTGACCAGGAGCCGCCTGAGGTAAACCCGTGTCCCAACCCCGAGCCCCAACCCCCTGCCTCAGCCCTGAACCTCCCCACCAAACCCAGAGCCCCTCCTGCACCCAAAGCCCTCATCCCCAGCCCCACCCCAGAGCCCACACCCCTAGCCCAGAGACCATACCCCCTCCTGCACCCCAGCTCTCTGCCCAAGCCCTGGGTCCCCAAAACCTGGAGCCCCCTCCTGAACCCCAAGCCCCTCATCCCTGGCCCCACCCCAGAGCCCAGACCCCTAGCCCAGAGCCCCTACTCTCCCCACACTCCAACCCCTGCTCCAACAACCTGCAGCCCCCTCCCACATTCCGAATCCCTCAGCCCCACCCTCAGCCTGGAACCCCCTCCTGCACCTCAAACTCCTCATCCCCAGCCCCACCACAGAGCCTGCACCCCCAGCTGGAGGCCTCACCCCCTCCCTCACCCCAAGCCCCTGCCCCAGCCCAGTGAAAGTGAGTGAGGGTTGGGCAGAGCGAGCCACTGAGGGAGGGGGAATGTAATGAGTTGGGGGGGGGGTGAGGCCTCGGGGAAGGGGCAGGTGTGACATTCCCCTCTGGTGTTATCTGGACCAGTGATCTGCTAGGTCACTCCAATCCTTGACTCTGGGAGCCAGCCTTACCCTGTTATGCTGTGAGAACCCCCACTCCTGGGCTGTTTATGCACAGCTTCTGGCATGTAAGCTGCTCCTTGGATTGTGCAACCAAATGACACTAGCCAATATCTCTGGTCCCAGACACAACCCTAGGAACCTCTGTCTTGCAGTGTCCAGTAATGCCCACTGGACACTGCAAGTTATATGAGTTCGTCAATTTAACAATGAAATTGATATGTACCAAGCTTGTTATCCCAAGGGGAGCCTCTGACGTCAAACCAAATGCACTGCTTCAGGT